TTGGTGTTGCAAGTTCTTTAATTCTCTTAGTATTATATCGTAGTTCAAAAATGACAAATTTATGCAATGAACGCTTCTTTAAAGGCTTAATTTCACTGGGCTTATAAGGCACGTAAAGCGTTAAGTGGGCCAAAAAATAAATCGCCTTATTAATTAGTACTTTCACTACCAAAGTTACTACCAAGGTTGTTTATTTTTATAGAAAAGTTATGTTTTCATATTGCATACTTATTAATTAGTACTTTCACTCATGATTTGTTTCCATTCTGGTTGAGGTGCTAATGCAATGATTATTACTTTGCTCAGTGCGAGATTAAATTGGTCATGTTTATGTTGTTGATTTTGAATTTTTGTTGCATTATGTTGTACAATGATAGTTTATGTTATATATAGAGATAAATAGAGGACAAATCAAATGCAAACCATGGAAAGGTTATAAACCATAGTTTCTGTTATATATAGAGAAGATAGAGGACGAATCAAATTTTTATTGGTTTGTATGGATTGTAACCTTTCCATGGTTTGCATTTGATTTGTTTTACAAGTTATATGTATTTTTACTTTCATCTTCAATGACACATGACATACTTTTGCACTTAACGAATCATTTTTGGTATGGCATTCACAGGCATTTGACGTATCTACCTGTTAAAATAGAGAAATCCTTGCCAAGGCTAAGTTTAGTTGTTGTTTTGGGAAGGTAGCTTCCTCAATAGTGGATGATCATAGAGGTATGGAAATTTATATATAATTCATGCTTCAAGTAGCGTTTCTTTAACTCTTTTTCCACTTACATAGTAATAATAGCTTGTGTGATGCTAACAMTTTTCTTGGAAACTTTCAGCAAACAATCGGGGGAACCACCTTGATGTTAGTAGAGGTAAGTAAGACCACCTGCTAAGATCATTTAGGTAGCATTTGGTACACATACGTGATTTGATAAGGAGTTGCTATCTGGGCCTGTTTGATGTTTGTAAATTATTCTGGATTAAATATTCTGCTTTTTGATTGAAATAGACGTTTTTACAGTTGTGGAGGTCAATGGTTTTATTGTTTAGGATTAGATTAGAACAACTCCATTCGTACTCTAAAATGGAGTTTTGCTTAACTCCAACCAGCCTGCAACGAGAACTTCATTTTGGCGGTGTAGGCCTCATGTTCAAACGGCATAAATGTTGTGTGCTTAGAGATGAGTTGATTTTTGGTGTCCATGCCCCACCGATTTGCAGTTCTTTTTAGTGCTAGAGTTGGAGTTGCTTTTATGGGCTAAATTCACGTCTGTAATTGGAACAACAACTCTTATCTATTCAAAATGTATTAATATGTAAAAAACTAAGAGCAAATCATATCATTCAAAAAGTCTTCTCTTGCGAAAACGCAAAAAGCCTCAAAATCGTTTACATTTACGACTCCCGCCGCATTGCGCGGGTACACAACTAGTTTATTTATATATATACTATATATTTTGGGGTTAGGCTGTCTAAATTGCACTGTATAATATGTTATTGGGTTTTTTTGAAATATATATATATATATATATATATATATACATATATTAATTCAATTTTAATATGAGTTTCTGGACAAGAAAGAATGTAAGCAGTTGAAATTTCATTCTAAAACTCATCTTTTTTGGTTTTTTCATGGCTTATGATCTGTCAAATTTGTAGTTTTCTTTATTGCTTTTGAGTGTTTATCTTAAAACTCAAGTTTCTTGGTTATTTACTCTTGATGTAAATCAAACACATTTGTGGAGTCGTTTAAATATGTTGGATTTTAAATATATTGGATTTTAAACTGTCATACAATTTTTTCGTCGATAATCTGTAATTGGAACTATAACTCTTATTTATTCAAATTGTATTAATATGTAAGACCAAATGTAACATATATCACCGTCAAATCTTATATTATAAAATCAGTGGAACTTTAGAATCGTTAAAATTCATGGCTCCCGCCGTATTACACGGATGGATAACTAGTTATTATCAGAGAGTATCTGCATACCTGTACTGTCATCAATGATTTTTATAGATCTTTCCAGAAGGCGCTGAAGTGGTTATCGGAAAGAATGCAAAAAGATCTTTCGAGAAAGTGCCTTATCTGGGTACCGGAAGAATGCTATCGATCTTTCCGGAACGTCCTTGAAATCTCCTCCTTGACAACTATAAATACCCATGCTCCCCCTCTTTCTTCACCAAGGTTCAAGATTACATTTCTTGTATTGATTCATTTGCAGTGAAAAGATGTCGATCATCCCGAGCTTCTTTGGTGGCCGACGAAGCAGCATCTTCGACCCGTTTGCCATGGATATCTGGGACCCTTTCAAGGACTTCCCCTTTCCAACTTCAACTGGATCGGATTCTTGGAGGGAAACCTCTGCTTTGGTGAACACCCGTGTGGATTGGAAGGAAACCCCTGAAGCGCACGTTTTCAAGGCTGATCTTCCAGGGATCAAGAAGGAAGAAGTGAAGGTGGAGGTTGAAGACGACAGGATCTTGCAGGTCAGCGGTGAGAGGAATGTTGAGAAAGAAGATAAGAATGATACATGGCACAGAGTGGAACGCAGTAGTGGGAAGTTCACGAGGAGGTTCAGGCTG